TCAAACTTGCCATGTCAGGTTGCCGTCACATGACATTTTGTGATTTTTTTCCCTTCATGGAGCTGGGGTGGGCGTGGCCTGCACAGGATGCATCCGACTGCCAGTTTGACATTCCTGCTTTAGAACATTCTGCTCACCACAGAGAAATTTTCTCATGTGCATTAATAATAAAGAGTAATAAACATACAGTATAATAAATAATAAACATACAGTATGTAAGGATGGTGCATCCTGGTTCCGTTCGATCAGTTTCCATCTTGTCTCTTTTGAGCAGAATTATGCAAAGTCTTCTGTTGATGTTTTATTTTTATTTATTTTAGAAAATTTATATTGCCACCTATTTGCACATGGCGAGTCAAGGCAGTTTACACAAATATTAAAAAATCATGTATAAAAAATAAAAATAATAAAATAATCAGATAATAAATTAATAGTCCCCCCCCCACATGGCGAGTCAAGGTGGCTTACACAAACATAAAAACATGTATAAAAAATAAAAAGAAAAGAATGAGATAATAAATTAATAAAATAATACTCCCCCTCACCCCCCACCATGGTGACAACACATCACACAAGCAATTTAATGGACTCCATCCCATTCTGGGTTCCACAGGCCCACTGCTAGAACCTGGTCTACATTCACTTGAATGTAGCCAAAATCTCTGCGAACCTCAATAATGCAGAGCTTCTGATCAGGCAAAGGTCTCAATTTGCTTTCGAGCTCAGCATGGAAAATTGGGGGCTGATTTTGCAGAGCTGCCTGTTGCACACAACTTCATGCCTTTTATAGGCATTTCTCTGTCACAATGAGGAAACAACGGATGTCATGAGGTGAAGATGCATTAGTGAACCATCTTGGTGCTTGTTTTCTTACACTTTATAACGACCGCTTTTAATGTTCAACTTTATGTTGCAAACTGTTGCACTTGTGATCCCATGATTCCTAGGTATGAAATAAATATAAGCTTTCTGTGGATGAGGGCTTTCCCCAGAAATGAATCTCACTCCATTTGAGAGGAAAGACGGAAAATCAAGCTACATTTAAATCAAGCCAATTGCAAATACTAATGTTTTCATATTCTACCCCTTTAATGGAATACCCTATTGCATAAAAATGGTGAACTAATTTATATTCTTCAGAAAAGAAGGATATCAGAACTCTTGCAGCAAAGTCATGTGACCGACGGAACATAATCTCTCCCAACTTTTTCTGTTTTCCATCATCACCACCCCATTTCCTTCTACCTAAAGAAGTTTTGTTCCTAAAAAGCTGAGATGTAAGATGTCTTTTAAAGCTGAGAAGGAGAAGCTACAGATTTATCAACAGCAGGAGGAGGTCTGTTGTAGTTGCTGTCACACAGTATTATAAATAGACATTTTCTTTGTTGGCCAAAGAAAAGAGCTTTACAATGCATTACAAAAAATAGCTCTCCTAATCATATCACGGTGACATCTTTCACTAACAGATAACAGAAGGGGCTGAAAAGGGTTGTTCAGAATTTCACTTTTATATATATACGTATATAAGTATCTTTTCAGGAAGAGATGCAAAGAGGTGGTCCCACAGAGCTACATTCAAAAGTAAGAAATACCTGTCTTTTGTTGTTATCCACTTTCCTAGCCATCTCAGGTTTGGTATTGTATAAACTGGGAAGAGGGCGAAAGCAAGCTAAACAAAGATAGATTAAGGTCATGTTTTTGATACTCTTCATCTGCCAATCTCATATTGATATAGATCCCTGTAACCAATTAACTCTTAAACAGATGTATTGCTGGAGAAATATTTGTTATAGGCATGGACTTCCTCCAGCTGTTCGTGCAATTCAACTTGACTAAGATCAAATGCAATTAAAAAGAAATAGAATGACTTGTAAGAAATTAGCCCAAGAAGGTTTCACTCTGGTGTATTTGTAACATGTCTTAAAGACATCATCCAATACTGAAACTTATGAAATTCTCCTGAAATTATTTCTTCATTACAAGTGGGAGGAATACAATGGTTTATTGGCTTGGAACGTTGAATGCTCAAGGAGTGGGAGGATTTGGGTTCAAGCATCTCTCAGCCATAAAGCTCAGCGGGGGGGGGGGGCGCTTGGGTCTCCCATTATCCTTAATTTAATCTATTCAATTTGGTTGGAATATAAAATGGGAGAATCGTGGGTGCTGCCTGAGCACATTGTGGAAAACAATATGCAAATGTAATCATCAGTACTTTGTGCGAGGAGTGGACTCTGAATAATATCTGTTGGCAGTTCCAACCCAGGGGGATTATGTATGTATTGTGTTGTCGAAAAAACAAGATGCACAACCCAAGATGACAAAAGAGAAGATCAGGGGATCTATGTAATTAAGTGTAATAAGTGCTAATTGATTGAATAAATGTATATTTCAGGATTGTGACTGGGTAAAGAAAATGGCATTTCACATGGGTGTGGAAAACCTTCGCTTGGGTTTGGATCAAACAAGCCTTCAAACACAGGATGTCTTCAAAGCAGGGTTAAGAAGCCCTTTGTTAGCCAAGGCTACATTTATTGGATGGTTATATAAAAGGAGTATAAAAAACGAAAGAGCCATTAGTTCGCAACCAATGGTTTGTCTTTTCAGTAAGTTGATGGTGTAAACTAGCAATGATATGTGGGAATGATCTTGGGAGACAAATGGAAGACCCAGAGACTAGATAATGGTCAGACAAGTGGCAGCTGAGCCTTCAGAAGGAATGTTGGTGTGGCAAATGTTACATTCCTCCCTAGTTTCTTGGACCACAAAGGTGGGAGTAGGAAAGAAGAGATGTACTTCCAGACTTGCTTTTAAATTAGATATTAAAAATTATCTTTTTAAATATAAATACAAGTTAGAGCTAGCAATTCTGGGTGTCCTTCATGTCTGGACCACTGCATGAGGCTGGCACCTAGTTACAGAATATAGTTGATTATTTTTATTTATTTTTTTGCTTGTTTATGCTCTGCTGGAAGCTACAATGTAAACACGGTAAGAAAACCTAATTAAAATGAATAAACTTGATAACTGAATTCTCCAACTCATTCACTGAAATAGCAGCAACCAGCTATAATTAATTTCCAAAGGATTCCTAGAAGTCAAGCTTTCATTTACTTCCAAAAGGTGATAAGGTTGGGAACCATCTTTGCTTCAAGGAGCAAGTATTCCAAAGTGCATATCTGCCATTTGGCTTCCTCTTGCCATCCCTTGTGTTCGGAGGGGCCCGTTAGCAGGCATTTCTTGATTCTTTTGCTCAGATAGTCAAAAGCTTTTGAGGAAAGACTCTAATATATCCAGGCCTTGAGTAACATAGGCTTTACAGGTATCAACTAGCACTAGTACTTTGAATTGCATTCAGAATTGTGCCACTGTGGTTAACCAGCACTGTTCAGCAGTGGTGTAATGTGGATGTACTGCAGATCCTCATTAAGAATATGTTTTCTAGACCACCCAAAGATTCTGGGTGGTCTTCAAGGGCAGTCCCTTGTAGAAAAATTACAGTAATCTAATGACAAAGGCATGAGCAACCATCATCAGTGTATCTGCTTCCTGGAAAGATTGTAAATAGCTCTCCAGTCAAAGCTATTCAAAAGATCTGTCATAGTCTCTACTTGCCCTTTGGGCAGGAGCCAAGAATCCAGGAGGACTCCAGATTCAAGGCTAGGTCTTTCTGGAGAATCAGAAGCCCATCAAGCAGTGGTGGGATACGAATGGTACGCCCCGGTACGGCCATACCGGTGCCTACTGGGACCACCAGGTACTGTTCCGGTATGGTGCTCCAGAGGCCCCGCCCATCCGCCCACTCTCCTTACCTCTATTTGAGCTGACTGGGACATTTGCGCACATGCAAGAGACGTACAGCACCTGCGCAACACTCCGCTGAGCAACTGGAGTATCGTGGACGGTGGGTACGCATGCTCATGCTGCATGTGTACACGTGATGGACGCCTGGCCCCATTGCAGCATAGCGGTTGCAATGGGAACCGGAACCCACCACTCCTATCAAGGGACTAAGATGGAACATTCCTGGAAAAAGTCATCCTCTGATGCTCACATTACATTTACATGCTTAAAAAGTGGATCACCTGCTGCCAATGTTTAACAATCATGAATGTAATAGCTCCTGAAGCAAGAGTCCCTGAGACCTCAATTAGATCCTTGCCTGCTGTTCATAAGGCTTTAAACACCTTTTTCTCCCTAAGCATTTCTGAATTCATTTGATTGCTGAAATTACCTCTGCAGAATGTGCAGGATGGACAAAAAACAATTTAAAAAATCAAGGCAATGGTCATAATTACATAGTTGAAGCCAATGCTTTGTAAATCCATGCAATGTTGACACATATACAAAAGGGGAAGGGCTTTGATCATGTGTCATGACTCCTGCCTTTATTCTTTTGACTCCCTCACCTCCACCTGACAGTCCTGTCTACATAACAAAGTTTAGTCTGATTTACAGAGTTCACTTAGAGATGTCACCAGAATTCAGAATTCTTGAATATCCTGGAGAACTTTCAATTTACTGTACTTTATAATCCACTTGAATTGATTAAGCCGAATAATGTGAAAGTGATTCATATTGTTAACTCAGTAATTGCTAAATTAACTATCTAATTAGGAGGAATATGACTTCTTTGGTCTACATATAAGAAGATGGTTACAGGATATATATGGAAAGAATTAGGACTGAAAAACTGATTAAAATAATTTTAAAACTTACTGCATGATGATAAAGGCAAGAAACGATACTTTTCTGCTACTGCGACATTAGCATAATGGTATCCTGGCAGAGCCATTTGGGATGGTGAACTCTTGGAATCTTGTAGTTTGAATTTTGCTGATAAAATTATTTCTGTCTGTTCTGATTGTTTATTCCATACCAAGAGTTAAATTTGTAAAGGTAATAAGCTGTCTAGTAATTATATAAGTTATTTTGAAAGATGTAAAGACCACCAATGTTTTGATTGCTCTCCAGAAGTTATATAACACATATTGCAACTCTAATAAGCAAAGAGACATTATTTATTTATTTCAAACACTATTACATTTGCAGACTATTATTTATAAAGGGAAGACAAAATTATTTTTCTATATTACATTAATTCAAAACTGGCCTGCTAAGCAAAGATATGTAAACTGTAATTTTATAAACACAATGAGGCATTTATTGTACAAATTGCTCTTTCCCCAAGAACATCTTGAAAAAAAGTTTAAAAATAGATGCCAAAAATATCCCCCTTTAAATATACACGCCCATTCCATTCCTAAAGATATCCTTCATTAAAAACACCTGTCTTTTATTAACACCCCCTCCCAAATCCCATGTTAACTTAAACCTAGCCAAAGAGTACTACTAGTACTGTAAGTAGTAAAGGCATAAATAGTGTGAAAAGCCCTGTGCAAAGTGATGAGCAGCACAGTACTTACAGATCGTAATGCTCTTTATACTTGCATTTGTTTTAGCAAATGCTGTAGAAAGCTAAAACTGGTGGAACTTGTACAAATTATTTGGGGGTGGAGATTCCTATCTAGATAGGTAATTTTTAAATAGCAGGGAATCGAGGCAAAACACTCACTGACTGTCACTTTTACTCCTGCTAGTCAGTAGGGTTTCAAAACTGAGGTTGATCAACACAAATTGATTCAAATGTTTAATAAAGTAAGTCCACATTGGAGCCCTAGATCAAGACATTTCAAAGGGTTCCAAATACTTTGGAGAAAACTTCTTGATATACATGTATTTAATGCATTTAACCACTAGGTAGACACCTGAATGAATAAGAGAACACATCTTCAAAATTTTTACATTTGCTTTTCTTTGCCCAGCAGGGAGTACATTCATGCTCTTCATACCCCAAGAGAAAGTGAATTTGAAATCTTTCCTTTTTTTATAGTCCTTTTTGGCACTTCTTTTGGAATGAGGCTTTCAGGAAACTGCGGTAGCCGGGGTCATCCACGTACTCATTCTTAAATCTGGAGCTCAATACCCGCTGCCTTTTCTTTTGTCCTTGGATAATATCGGCACCATAGAACGTATCTTCAAACCTCATATCAGAAGCTGTAGACTAAAAACAGAGATTAAGAATATATTTCAACTTTAGAAAGCCCATCATGGGGGGGGGNAAAAAGGCTAGAAAACAAGATCCTACGTACTATCCTCAGAGAACTGAAGACATAAAGAGAAATAGCTTGATATCCCTCTTGAGGGTAGTTAGTGAAATTATGAGAGATTAGAGAGATTAATTGTCTAACCTCTTACCCACTTTTTAATATTGTTAAGAAGTTATATACCAAAATAATAAAATACCGTAAGAGGCATCGGCTATAATCCTAAACTCACTTCCCACGTTATTTCTTAGTATTGGGTTGGTGTAATAAAATGTTATTCAGAACTAAACAGACACAGTTAATCCATAAAACATGATTTCAACTTCTATTAAAAGAAAATGATAAAAGTTAAATTCTTCACTTGATATTAAGTTTTATTATTTTCTGTACAATTAGAGCAGGTAAGTCACTTTTCCCACATTGTCAGAAATACAGGAGTATGATTCTGAGTGGTAGTATTAGCCATCAAACCTCAACAATACACTTTTCACAAAAGGTTTCCACAATTTTGGCCACTACGGTAGGTAGGTAGGTAGGTAGGTAGGTAGGTAGGTAGGTAGGTAGGTAGGTAGGTAGGTAGGTAGGTAGGGTAGATGGATAGATGGTCGGAGAGAGAAGACAGACAGACATTTACTAAAAAGTGAAGCATACAGTATGTCACCTTTTTTCCCATGCATATGAACAACAGTATTTGGAGATTCCTCTGTGTGTGCCTAAAATGTATTCATAGATATTTATTTCTCACAGTATACCAATTGCTCTTTTAGCTAAATTTTGTAAATTGCAGTTATAAAATATAAACTCACACATTTTTCAAAACCAACAAATATATATGTTTAGCTCTGAAAGAACTCCATGGAGCTGAGAACATTATTAGGTTTAAACAATGTCTCAAGCTGTCTTGTTATTATACTGGCATTTTGTTCAAATATATGATCACAACAGGTCCACAATTCCAATACAAAAAAACCCAAAGATAGTAATTTTCATGTTTCATAAAATGTAGATGTATTTCAAAATTGGAAAGTAACCTTTACAAAAAAATTATTTATCATATACTTTTGCTATCGCATATTTTCCTCTTTGTTTGTAGCTGATGGGGAGTTTAAAATCTTGAAAGATTAATAGTTTAATAGCAATAGCAATAGCAGTTAGACTTATATACTGCTTCATAGGGCTTTCAGCCCTCTCTAAGGGGTTTACAGAGTGGGCATATTGCCCCCAGCAACAATCCGGGTCCTCACTTTACCCACCTCGGAAGGATGGAAGGCTGAGTCAACCCTGAGCCNAAAAAAAATCTAGAACAAATATTGAATCTGAAGTGCTAATAGGTCTTTTGATGAACAATTATTGGATTCCTTTTGCACTCACAAATATACACAATATACAACTTACTCCCTCATTCCAACCCTCCCTTCCACCCTGCCCTGCCTTTTCTTTTCTTTTCTAACTAATATATTTATTTCTCTGTTCCAAAGTTATCTTTCCTATACTGGCAATATATTAGTTTCTTAGTTGTTGAAACACATAGACTATAAATACCACCAATTAATGTAAGAGTAATTCCTATTTGATATCTTTCTTTCTGGGAATCTGCTCTCACAATTTCACTGTACACACAAAGAAAAAGCTTTTCTGAGTCTTTTGCTGCTTTGAAAATATTGTTGCTATCTAGGAAATTCTCTATTTTTATTATTATGAATATCTAAGTTATGGATTTGTCTAAAACTTTACAAGATGTATGTTTGGACAAAAATATCACCATATTTTGTTCCTAAAACAATACTTCGCCTGCTGTAATCTTACCCAAAATATTGCTTTGTAGCAGAGATGGAACACAGTTCATCTCTAGAAATAGATAAGAAATGTGTTTTGACAAATATAAGCAATCTACAAATTTGATCAATCCATCCACACCATGTTACAGAAGTGATTGTAAAACCTGCGTATTCATGTGCTTTCTACCTTATAGCAAATACATTTTTATGCACACTCTCACACCAAATTTATAAATTGATACAGAAACAACCTGGCAACAATTATGTTGATGGTAAAATGCATTGTTGAGAAAAGCAATCAAGCCAGTACCCTTACCCTATGCCCTAGTCCAAGGTATTGGAGGAGAACCAGAAAGCTGGAGAACTATTTGTTTTACAACAGGTGTATGTAAGAAAAGCCAATTTATAGCTGAGAGTTTAGCTACAATTAGATAAATTGGGGTTAGTTTTAACAAGAAGTACTGTATGGCAAGTTTGTTTCTGATACAGAAATGCCAACTTCCTTTTCGTATTGTGTGTGTGTGTGTGTGTGTGTGTGTGTGTGTGTGTGTGTGTGTAGGTAGGTAGGTAGGTAGGTAGGTAG